GAGAGCTATCATCTCCTTTTCATCTGGAAAAATTGGCCTTCAAGGGAGAGCTGCGAAATCAAGTTACTGCCGGTTACCATACCAACAGATTCTAGAGAGTTGAGACTGCATTCATGAACCTTCTCTACCCTCTAGTAGAAACCCCCTCCACACCCTCCAAAAAGTTGTGTAGCTTAATGGGATCTGAAATAGTTCTGCACGACTAAAGAACCAGCGCTCGAGTGTCGCCAGAGCCATGAGGTTTTTCTCTTCTCACAGCGTCCGCTCTGGCAGTGGCAACTACACAGTCACCTATCGAATAGTACCAATGGACGGCCCCCTAGAGTAAAGCAGTCAGGGGAGTAAGTGACCACTAACCTCCACCCAGTGTCGCGATTAATGTTGCGTAGAGCTGCACATTGTCTTTATGGCGTGGAACTTAATTAAGCACAGGGACTTCCTCTACTTACACTTTTACATAACCTTACAAGTTAAGAGAGATCGAAGGTTTTCTTTTTCAATATGATTTTCTTTTTCTCTGAATATTTTTAATATCTGTATGTGGATATATGGCCGATCACGGTAGCCGAGCGGTCTAAGGCGTGCACTGTCTTCGCTCGCTCGGAAGCCGGGATCGTGGGTTCGAATCCCACTCAGGGCATGGATGTTTGTGTGCGTTTTTCTGTGTTTGTCTACAGGTAGAGGCCTTGCGACGAGCTGATCACTCGCCCAAGGAGTCCTACCGCATGTGTAAGATCTAGTAAACTGAAGTGAAACGGAGAGTTTTATGGAGGTAGGCCTAGGCCCAAATTGGGGCTGTAGCGCCACAGAAAAAAAATGTGGATATATGAAATATAGTTAGTATGTATCGTAGAATTTGACTTCAGTTATGAATATCTGGATGATTTTTCGTTCAAAACGCGCATCTAGAACATGTCAACTAGTTCAGTAAAATTGTGTGTGAAATTTGCAATTCAAAACCAAGTGTCAATTGGACACTCGATATTTAGTCCTATATACGAAATCATCAACATTAATTTGTGATCTTTTGCAGTGGTTTATCTGTAACAATATTAGCTTTGGAACTGTAGACTTATGCCTAAAATAAATGAATATACACGTAAACGCTTGCGAGATATAAAGAACGACAAACGGTAAATTTACAAAACGTTAACTGCAAGGCCTAGGCCCTGCTGGTGTTAATTTAATGTCTCCATTATGACTGAATCATTGGACTAATTTTATATGAATATTTCTTAAGTGTCCCATAAAATAATTGCAAGCACGCCAGTTTCTTGAAAAATAATCCAATTTGAATTCATTTTATTCAACACAAGACAGCGATAGCTTGCCCGCGAATATTTTTATTATGCTTACAATAGTTGTTTTTTTAATCTACAATATTTATTCATACTGAACTTCTTTCTTCTAATACTACCTGAATAAAAGGACAGCTTTTGCTTATATATGTGATTACACGAACTAAACTAACCGTTAACAACTGCGCACACTAAAACATTAATTTTATATGAACTTTCTTTGGTCCAGCAATCGCAAACACGTCATATTCCTTAGGGAATGCTATTGGAAGACATTTTATTTAAGACAACTGTATGTTACGAATGAAACTCTATGTTAATTTATTTTATTGTGCTTAGAGTAACTAATTTTTCAAACATCTATAATTTTTATTCCTATAGATATTCACGGTGAATTTGAATGCACAAAACATAGCCTAAAATATAGTTTTATGGTTCGCATTACTATTACTGGAGGGCAGCACAAACACTAAAATAACAGCGATAATGTCTTTACTGAGCCTGAGATACGAGTATTATGACATATCATTTGCCATATTCAGAATAGCATAACACAGGCCTNTTTTATACAACTTATAAGATGATGAACGTGTGAATTTCCACATTAATTATAATTAATGTGGAAATTCACACGTTCATCATCTTATAAGTTGTATAAAAATGGAAATATATACTGTAGACGTTTTACATTCCAATATCGTCGCCATTTTATATCCCGCACAGAAAGTCGCTGCTATGTAAAGTCCATAATTTCTACCCGTAAACAGAAGGGAGGTAACATTTACATATAAACACCCAAGTTGGTTATTCTCAGGTTTTACGAAGTTCGTATACAAACTTTCTGTTTTCTAGGTTCCTTAGTTTTAGAGCCTTAACACACAAACCCACACACATTCTAGTTTAGTCATCAGATTTGTAGCTACTCTAAAACATCTTTCCACGCTTGTTTTATTGGATATACTCGTACTTTTCTTTTGTTTCATGTCTTTAAATGAGAAGTTGTTCAACTCCAGATATCTGTCGTGGAGTTTGCGATTCTGATCTGGGAGTGTTTAACGAATGGACTCTGCTTTTACGACAGTCTCTGTACGTTTCGCTTCGTCTCGTCTGTAAAGACTCGTGACGATATTAGCGTGGTGGAGGGAGGGTTTATATGAGGCAACTGTTGCCTCAAGGGCCTCGTCCAAGTGTCAATGGCATGGTCGTAAAGTGGAGGGATAAGAAATCTGTCACAGAATGCAGCGCGTTATTTCGCAAACGACCTGCACTGATGCACACACAAATGTCTTTTAAAGACGCTGATGGCAGCACTTCTCTCGAAGGAGCAGCGTCAGGAAGATCCATGTAAGCCTTTCAGATAACTTCGCCTACTGCGCTGTACCTCCATACACTACGGTACACTTCGTTTGTGATGGATATGCCTTTCAGACCCGAACACAGAAATGTGTTAACGTTTTATTTCTCGCTTTCTGTCTTAATGTCTGTTCTTTCTGGCCTTCTTTCCTTCTTTACATTTCTCATTTTCCCTTTTTGTTTTTTCCGTTTATACTTCTTTTTCTTTATTTTCTCAATTAATTGTATGTTTCTTTGTTTCGTCTTTGTCCTGTCCTCTTTACTAACTTTTTGCTGCTGTTTCTCCTTCCTTGCGTTCATCTTCTTTTTCTGTATAATATAATACCTATTTTAGCATTCTGGTACAGTGTGTAAACTTCAATTCTGTGCTGCTTCTTATCCGTATTTGCGCTACTCAATCAAAATCTCTTAGGTTTCGATGTTTCTTCTTTCCGTTTTATTTCACTACATGCTTAGGTCTAGCTGGTCATCATCAGATGGGTGCTTTTCGTTTGTGCAGTTTTATTATGGCATCGAGGCTAGGGGATATTGAGTTCATATTTGTGTATCTCTATATGTTTTTATTGTATGATGTTATTACTTTGTTTTAGTTTTAGTTTTATTGTTTTTGTGTTTGTTTGTTGTTTATTACTGTGAATTTGTGATCTTTTATGAAGTTATTTACATTTTGTTCATATTCTTGTGTAAGAATGGAAATTAATAACAGGTATAAAACAAAGTATGAATGAATAAACTCACAATAACAAAACAGACAAGGGGAAAACAATAATTATACAATTGTACTTACCAGCAAAAATAACCTGCGAATGAACAATGCAAATCTAAATACACACAACCCCAATATTGAAAGCAGTACGGGAAACGAATACCAGGTAGCAGCACGTACACAGTACATTATTCAGGAAAACAGAATCAAGGACATGAGCGGCACGGGAAGCACGCAGAATCAAGCAGAACAGTTACAACGCCAGAGAAAATGACAGCAACATATTCAAAAAAACGTGAGTAATAGCACAAATACTATAACCGAAAAGCAGAAATAGGATATCATACCCACCATACAAAACACTGGTGCATACTACAGATAAACCAAACACGTGGTAAGACGCAAAGGCATGGCGTAACATAACCTGAATGAAACGTCCAGAAGGGTCTAATACGTCAAAAGGAAAGTAGAGCAGACTCTTAAGCGCACTTTGTACACCTGATGATGGCCAATTAGGTCGAAGCATTTTGTGACACAAAGCGGAAAGAAGAAACATGCAAATCTAACGGATATTGATTTAGTTGCACAAGGACGGATAAGAATTAGAAAAGTATTCAACTTCCTTTTATCTCTCTCTCCATATTTCAACGTTCCGTAATTATCATGACCTTTCCTCCTCCTACCTTCCTTCATTTTTCTACTATAGTGGAACCATAACCCCACTCCCCCATACTCGTATGTCTTCATGGCGTAGGGCTTAATTCTACATACTTCCTTACAGGGACAACTGCACTTTTGCTTCCGTTCTTCATCTTTGAGTAGCTCTGTTTAACGGGCCCGGCTGACTAGGGTCCCTTATCTAGTCTTTCACCCTTGATCACGGATGCAGTTATCCATATTCTTTCTTATTTTCAGGTTGGCTCAAGCGGTTAAGATTCTGAAATGTATTCGAGAGGTAACCCGTCTGATTTTCGGCCGAGACACCAATTTCTCCGAGTGTGAATTTTCTTGTTTCTTCTCAGTACCTCCAGGTAGATTACAGGAAAAATATATCAAATTTGGCCATGACTACTTCCTTGAATGTTTTTTCAGGTATTTCATTTTATTGCTAGGGCCTGGAACTAAGTCCCTTGTACTGCGGCCACTTCTGGTCTATTGTACCAGCCCCAGATGATAGGTGAGGGTGATTGTGGAGCAATTGGTGGAATGAAGATTGGCAGGGGAAACCGAAGTACTCGGCTAAAACCTGCCTCAGCGCCACTTTGTCCACCACAAATCCCACTTGACCAGACCCGGGATCGAACCCGGACCGCCGCGGTGGGAAGCCAGCGACTAACCGCTTGAGCTATGGCGGGTCCTTTTTATTAGGTATATTACTCATTAAATCACCCAATTATTCGGCACTATATTGTCTGAGATAACGACAGCTCAGAAACCTCAGACAGGGTATTTGGTTATACTGGCAAGATTCGAACGGGGCACCTCCCGAATACATATCTACCGCTGCATCACGCTGGTATGTCTGGAGGAGAATATTATTAAATCTTATCTGAAACGAATAGATTGACGCAGTGTGGGATGTATTCAGTTGGCTAAAAGTGGACGCTGTTCGGAGGAGTTGGAAAGTTCTGTTGTTATTGCAGAGAACTACGGGCAGAGCGGAATCCAAGCTTTCAGGGAGCTGGCAGAGAAGGCAAATGTCTGCATCGCGAAGGAAGATTCGGTGCTTAGCAACGCGGAGGATGAGGTGTTCGATGGAGTGATCCGGAAGTTGGACGAGGACAAGAATGCTCGTGTCGTCGTTTGTTTCTGCGAGGGCATGACCGTTCGAGGGCTGCTGGCTTCTACAAAGCGCCTCAACCTCACTGGGCGCTTTCTCTTCATTGGCAGGTCTGTACTGACGCATTGCAATCCCAGAGGGTGCAGCGCGAAGGCATTGTTACTCACGTTGGAGTATCTTTGAAATACTTGTGAGTTTTCTTTTTCTTTTAATTCGCTTAGTTGGGGGTGGAGTCCAGCTGGGTCCACTCGGCACAGCGGCCACTGATTGGCCTATTGTACATGCACCGTGTGATTATGATGATGGAGAATTTGGCGGAATGAAGATTGGCAGGGGAAACCGAAGTACTCGGAGAAAACCCGCCCCAGCGCCACTTTGTCCACCACAAATCCCACTTGACCATACCCGGGATAGAACCCGGGCCGCCGCGGTGGGAAGCCAGCTAATAACCGCTTGAGTTATGGCGCGGCCCTACGTGTGAGCTTGCTGGCAGTTCAGTATCTCTCAGAACTGTTACTTCAGGACCATGTGTGTGTTTTGTTAACATAATGCACGCATCTATGTAGGGACCCTAGGTAGCTCTGTCGGTATAGTGACGGGCTACGGAGTGGACGGTCGAGGTTCGATTCCCGGCAGAGGCAAGAGATTTTTCTCTAATCTACAATGTCCAAACCAGCTGTGAGGCCTACTTAGCCGTCTATCCAAAGGGTACAAGATCTCTTTCCCTGGAAGTAAAGCGACCGGGGCGTGAAGCTGACTCATCTCCATTTAGTGCACAGGTAAAGGAAGTGGAACGGCATCTGCACTCCCCTCTGTGTCTTCATGGCGTTGTGATTAATGTATTAAGCTTAAGGACAACGTTACACTTTTCCGTATGTATGCATGTGTATTTAAATTATGTGAAATATGTTCGTATATATAGATACTGAGCTTCTCACAGCGGGACCGCATCTGTGGTCTAGTGGTCAGAATTTTACAGATCCAGAGGTCCGGGTTCGATTCCCGGCGCTATCAAATTTTCTGAGAAATAGTGGGCCTGGATCGTGGTCCACTCAGCCTCGTGAGGATAATTGAGGAGCTATTTCAAGCAGAGCCTGGGGCTCTGACGTATGCATATTTTTAGCCTACTTTCCTGCTCTTGAAAAAATAAAAGTAGGCTTGTGAAATCTCCATGCTGTCTGTGTATATTTGAATCCCCAACTATGAACTTTTGAATGTCTAAACCAATCTTTATAAAACTTGGTATGTACATCATGCCACCTGAGCCGACATATACTGTATATGTTGGAAAGAAGCGAAGGTATTGCAGATTGAACCAAAGACCACATACAGGAAATGTAAGGAATCAGCCTACATGTATCTGATAGACAAGCCGATCAGACAGTCCAGCTTGGAAATCTCTCCCGTCTGGACTACCGTTGTCACAGGAGAAAAAATCTACAACTCCGTCCAGTGTTGATTTTGTGTGAAAATTACGTTTTTATGATGGTACCATACAGAGAAATTATCTCTTTACTAATGACTCTAGCTCTGCTGTTTCGAACTGGACATGTTCAGAGTTTATATCTTGATTTAAAAGTGTAGTTTCCTGACTGAAGTATTTTGTGGTTTTCCTCAGCCCCCCAGTCAAATCTCTTGAACGCGTACTGAAATAAACCACGACCTCTTCCTTCAATACATTTTATAGCTCATTATTTAGAATCATTCATCCATTGGCCAATTGTCCTTAAATAATCAAAGAATCATTCGATGACCAGTGTCATTCAACCTCACACGTTCTCACTGTTTGACGCGGTATCGTATAACAAGAAACGGACTATGGCTACCAAATCAGCCACGAGAGCTCAGTCGCAGAAGTGTCTGGTTACAGGTCTGATGACGTGGCAGGATCAGGAACACCCATCCGTCCCCTACTTCCCTTTCAGTTTAGTTATTTAACGACGATGCCTATCACGCCTATAGAGCGTCGGATAATTAATTAATTAATTAATGTGAAGCAGCTGGTGGAAGGAGAATTTGCGGGGAAATCGAAGTGCTCGAAGAAAACTGCGTTAGTGCCATTTAGTGCACCACAAATCTTCATTCCCTGATCTGGGATGGAACCTCTGTCTCCATGGTTGGGAGCCGACGACTACCCGCCTAAATTATATTACCGACCAGTCTCCTAGTAGCAGTACGCTGACCACCAGATAGATTTTTTCAAACTTAGTATGGTAGGCATACACAAAATTGTGTCAGGCTTTTGATGTATTTTAAGGACCTTTACGCGGTACTTAAAAGTACGTCATGAATCTGTGTAAAGACCATCTTCATATTTTACATACAGCACTTCAATTATATTAAAACTCTGTCCGATCCAAAGTAATGCTATATATACCTTAAATTTTAAAATTAAGACTCGACATTCCTATCGAAAATTAAAAATTATGCCAAAATAATACAAGGGAAGATCCCCGTAAAACGTGGTTCTTGGATATTTTTGAAGTTGGCATGATGGTAGTCAGACGTTCTTCTTATTCCTAGCGTGTTGCAGGAACGTTTATGGAGGTTTACTTCTTGTAGTCATTCTAACGGTCTGCTATTGCTTGGGATTGGCCGGCTTGTAGAAAGAAATATATGAAGCTGTTCCCTCTGGTGCTAGATCCATGTGGTGGTGTGGTGCATGACTGTTATGAGTTGTTTAATAAATCCATTTGTTTTTTACGCTAATCGCACCATTTTTATGTGTAAGCACCGCATAAATGATGCAACACTACAGACAATTTAGTTTAGTTATGCAGATGCGTGGGAAAGCACTCAAACACAGTGCTAGCTGCCGTAAAGCTGAGTAAAAACAATTGTACAACAACCTTTAAACTTTAATATTTTGGAACTGACACGATACGGTTGTGAAGGGGGCCTCATGACATACCGGAAAGAACATGCAGAACTTCCGTTACGATGTGGCTTTATGTAGTTCTTAAACGTGACAAGACGTAAGTTCGTCAGTGTCGTACAGTACAAAAGGGAAGGAAGAACGCGTAAAGACATTTCAAAGCGAATACAAATATGGTCTGAGTCTTCTTCCATTTTCAGTTTATATTCTTCGTTTTAGAAGGAAACAAGACCATTTTACTCATATGTCCGTTTCTGCCCCCCCCCTCCCGCTCTTCCAGTGCCATCAGAATATCAGACAGTATTATGAAACTTTGTGTAAACTTCATGCCAGCACCTCTTCCTACGTTTCTAACATCCCAACATCGTCTGTACAGAGGTCGCTGACGTGAGATATTAAATATTAAGGTCATGGCTGTCAAATTAAAAACTTAAAGCATTAGTGGATATTACGAACAAATGTAGATCACTGAATATTATAAGTAATATTTGTAGTACCTGCCGATCACAATGGACGGGTCATCTGAGGCATGAACCATCTTCGCCCGCTCGAGCTCTGTGATCGTGGGTTTGAATCCCACCTGAGGCATGGATATTTGTGTGCGTTTATTCTGTGTTTGTGTTGTTCTGCGTGTAGGTAGCGGCCTTTCCGACGGGCCGATCTCCCGTCCAAGGAGTCCTATCGACTGTATATGATTACGAAACTGAAAAAAGCGACCAGGGCGCAACAAAGGACTGTAGACCATAGGTAAACAGATTTGTAGTACCTGCTGGCCTCACCACATGGTGTAAAGCTTTTGAAGAAAAGCAGTCACAGTAACTTATTCCATCTTGTTTATTTTAGTGATTGACAAATTTTTAGAATATTCTGTAAAGTTTAAAGTAACCATATACAAGGGCCGCGCTATAGCTCAAGAGGTTAGTCGCTGGCTTCCCACCGCGGCGGCCCGGGTTCGATCCCGGGGTCTGGTCAATTGGGATTTGTGGTGGACAAAGTGACGCTGGGGCAGGTTTTCTCCGAGTACTTCGGTTTCCCCTGCCAATCTTCATTCCACCAATTGCTCCACAATGACCCTCGCCTATCATCTGGGGCAGGTACAATAGGCCAGAAGTGGCCGCAGTACAAGGGACTTATTCCCACCCCACTAGCAATAAAGATACCATATATAAAGCAAAGAACATGCGGGCCTCCTGTCTCTAGTCCTTCATACTTATATTCACAACGGAAGTAAGAATTTTGTGCTCTGACTGTATGCAGTTTAACGCAAGATATATCGAATGTCTTGTCAGTTTATGCATGGTGTTCTGATTCACGTCATACCCTTAGCAGAAATGGAAGATAAACTGTATCTTGCGCAGTGATACACTCCAGTAGCTCGTCGCTTCGCAGACTATAATATTCTAACTCCCGTCCAAAATTAATTATACCCTCTCCAAATTCACTTCAACTTCAGTTACGTATGTCCTTCATCTGACCCACCTGATATAATTAAACATGAAGAGATCTGGGATATAACGCCACGTAGACCGTTGAAAGTCAACCGACGTTTCGGAGGAACATATCACCTCTCTCTTCAGGGTCGAAAACAAAGTCGAGAAAAATACTAGCGTGAAAGTAGAGCTTGCTTGCCACATGCTTTGACGCTGTTAAACACTCATGATAACCACCGCTATGAGAATTCCAGATCCTACATAAGTATACATGAGATTTTATATTCTCACGGCTTTGAATATTACGAGTAAGTTTACGGTATTCTGGAAAGTGACACCGTATAGTCTGATACACACCAGGATTTCAGAGGAATCTACTTACTTCTTCCTCAGAGTAGAAAAAATGACAGAAGATTGCCCTAAAATGGAGGTGATAGGTTCCTCCGAAATTTTAATAGATATCTGGCTAACTCTTTCGTGGTTTCCTTCAGTTTCCAATAACTGAATAATAATCTAATAGTAAATAACAAAATAACTAGTGGATAATAAAATTATCCAATAATTCCTCTTGTAATTACGTCTTATGTTGGGTGGGGAAATTGATCCTTGTGGTTTGAATTCTTTGTTGCGCCATAAGCAGTTAAACAAATGTTGTGGGGGGGGGGTCACTCGTGACCCGGCATCTTTGGAACCATCTTGCGAAGATGCTTGTGTGTGGCTGTCTCTGCACTACCGATGCTGAAGTTCACTTGTCACACAGAGAAACTCTGCGGTTGTGTAGAAGAAGTTTCGGAAGTTTGTTGAC